TGGACAGTCCCACAGCAATGTGGACAGTCCCACAGCTATCTGGGGCAGTCCTGCAGCAATGCGGACAGTCCTGGACAGTAACACAGCAATCAGGACAGTCCCACAGCTATCTGGACAGTCCCACAGCTATCTGGACAGTCCTACAGCAACGTGGACAGTCCTGCAGCAATGTGGACAGTCCCACAGCAATCAGGACAGTCCTGCAGCAATCTGCACAGTCCCCAGCCATCTGGACAGTCCTGGACAGTCCCACAGCTATCTGGACAGTCCCACAGCAATGAGGACAGTCCCACAGCTATCTGGACAGTCCCACAGCAATGAGGATCGTCCCACAGCAATCAGGACAGTCCTGCAGCCAGCCTGGAGGCACAGAGTGGTGCCCATGTAGCACCGGCACCCTGAGTCCTGCTGGGTCCTGCAGAGCTCCTGCCTGTACAGACAGAAAGCATGGACAGATGGGCACCCTGAGCCCCARAAACCCACTGCAGCCACACAGCAGTAGGAGGAAGCTGCTTGTTCCCCTGCCACAAGCACAGGACCAGCACAGCTGATGCTCTGCTGGGGTTTGGGAAGGCAGACATGAGCACTGTGGAGGTTTGCCATCCCCAGAATGGGATTAGGGGCAAGAGAAGGCTGAAGAGAACCCAACACCAACTCAAGTGCTCTGCCCTGTGCCTGCAGTTCAAGAGATACAGAAGAGCAAGTGTCATGAAAATGGTTTATTGTATAAAGCTGTAGGAAATAAAGGTTTAGGACAATTTCTTCTGGAGATGGCTCAAAGCTCCTCATAATAGCAAACACACAAAACTCTCATTTGCTGTCATCAAAGCTTCCAAACAAGGATTCAACAAGGATCTGGTTACAGAGTAATAACACTTCAACATGCATAACATTTTCTGTTCCTAAGTGAACCCCGGGTGGGGGGCTAGCCCCTTCATCCTATGGTTGTGTACAAAATGATGGATATTCATGACAAATGAGTACAAAAGGGAAAAAAACCAACAAGAACAGGTTTTCAGAAAAGCAGGTGGCTGACTAAGCAAGAAAGCAGGATTGGCGGAAGTGCCCCAGTGAGACAGAAGCAGAAGGATGTAGAGACAAGGCAGGCGTGAGCATCCCACTGCAGAAGAGCCTTAGCCCAGGGCAGCTCAGCCATTGGGCAAGGACTGCTCAAGGCCTCGTGTGAGTCTGGGATGCCTCAAGATCCCCTATTTTGCAGTGAGGGCCAGCTGAGACCTGGGCAATGCAAAGTCCCTCCCACAGGTGCCACCTTTGCTTTGCTTCTTGTTTGGGACACAGTGAAGGATGAGTGTGGCTGGAGGGAGCCACCACTCCCTGCCAGTCACTGGGGGACACAGGTAGCCCTGGAGGAGCAGGTTGTGGACATCCTGCTGGCCCTTCAGCTGCTCTCTATGGAGCCTTGTGCTTCTGCAGACCCTGACAGTGCTCCCAGCAGCTCCCAACTGCAGGCAGTCTGTGGGCATTGCTCCCTTTCCCTGAATTAACACAGGTCTCTGGTGTTCCCAGTGCCACTGCCAACTGGGCTCCATATAACAGTGCCCATCCCATGGATCCTCATGAGAGGGAAGGAGCAGGAATAAAGCCCTGAGTCCTCTCAGCCTTCAGCACGCCCTTCTCTGGGGCTCAGCCAGATGCATCTGAGCATCAACAGGCCAGCTCCCAGCTCCAGCTCAGCCACTCCAGCCATGGGAGGGCACAGCACAGGTGGATGGGAATGGGGTACGTGGGGGTGGGCAGAACAACCTGTACCTACAGGTGACTTGAACTCCTCATTCATGGCTAAGAGAGCATCTCCATGGRGGTGCTGAGCAAAGGGTCTGACCTGAAAACAGTGAGGTGCTACAGAATTCCAGAGGTGGATCCCATCTGACCAGATGTATGGCTCTTCTCTTGGCCACATTCCAGCCTGGTGTCCCCAAACCTCCGCAACAGAAGAGAGTGCACTTGATGCCYGGGCCAGCTGTGCATATGGGAAAGCTGTGCAAAGCCAGCTGTGACACAGTCCTGCACAGCCAAGCTGCGTGGCCCCAAGCCACTGCCTTGTGCCACATTCAGCAAGGGAAGCACATGGGGGAAAAAGAAAAGTCAGCGCTGTGCTGTGGGGTAAATACATGCTGCCAGCRTGCAGATCCAGCAGCCCAGTGCTCCTGCCCTTTGCTCAGCTGGAGCCCTAGGCTCGTGTCTGGTCAGGCTGGAAGCAAAAAGAAATAGTAAATAATGGGGGGTGGGGTCTTGAAGCTCCTTTTTCAGCTTTATTTAGCTTTGACTGCACAGAGCTATAGCACAGCGTACTGTAGCCTTCAGAGAGGGGRCACAGGAACCCCCTGAACACACCGCGGTTCGGGCTCAGCCCCCATCTCCTGTGCCTTGTGCTCTGCCCCTGAAATACTGCTGGGGAACCTGGCACAAAGGCCCTGAAGAACAGAGGAAGYCCCTGCCCCACGGTGTCCTTGGGGGCTCATAGGTCGCTGCTGCAGTCACGGCACAGGATCTCGTCGTTGTCAGGGATGAAGCCTTTCCCCACCAGCGAAGTGTTGCASCGGGCGCAGTTGAAGCAGTTGTGGTGCCAGTGACGGTCCTCAAAGGAGACGTATTTGCCACCRCCAAAGCCTGTGGGAGGGACAGAKGGCAATGTCAGAGTCTCTGGGGAAACTGCACTGAGCTCCCTGCACAGATGGAGCCCTGGCCTGCTCCTCTCTGGGTCAGGTCTTCAACATGCGGCGCTGGTGGTGGCACCCAAATCACCCCCCAGGATCAAATACATCTGAAATGCAAATCTCCACTCCTGTGGGGGAAAAGCACTGAAACTGCTTCAGGGCAGGCTTTGCAGGGTTGTCATATTTGGACCAGAATAACCATTTTCTCGCCTCAGAGGAGTGGGGACAGGACCTGCACCACCACAGTGGATGAAGGCAGACAGCACTACTGGAATCTTGGGAAGAGCCATCCTGCCACCAGCTCAGGCCCAGGCTCCTGCAGAGGCTCCACAGGAGCTTCCTTTCTCTGCTGAAATTGTTGAACTAATGGGCTGTGAACCTCCTCTCCCCAGGACTGCAACAAACTGATAAGGACAAGAGGGGAAGTGGGTGCATGGGAGCTGCCCTCAGCCAGAATCATCCTCTGAGTCACAGCTGATTCACGGCTTCTCCTGCCTTCCCAGAAGCAAGAAACGGGGAGTTGCAAGGGGGAAGGTCAAGTGGGGGAGGGCAGGAAGGAGGCCAGACTCTCTTAGGGGGGTCTGCAGAAGAGGATCACTCACTTGCCCTGCCTTAGGGGGAAGTACAGGTAGGTAGGTACAGCAGGTCCAGACTCCCCTGCATTAGGTGCTGCTCTAGCTACAGCTGGAAGTCCCTGGCTTTCCCTACCTGTGAACAACCTTTTCACAGGACATGGCAATCATTATCAAAAAAGGCAAGCTAGAGACATGAGATCATTTTGAAGGGTCACTTTGGAGCCTTTATCTGTGGGTAGAGGGAATTCCTCCCATAGAACACTGCTCACCACTTTGAAAGATGCAGCCAAAAGGACAGAAGTGGCCCCAGTGCTCACCTGTGATGGGCTTTGTGCAGGCACTGCACTTCTTGGCATAGAGGTTCCCAAAGCACTTRATGCAGTATGGGTTGTCATCCTGGGAGGTGAACTGCTGCCCAGCCAAGGGGGTCTTGCAGCCCGTGCAGACAAAGCACTCCTTGTGCCAGGGCTCATCCCGGTAGGTCACTCCTCCCTTGGTGAGGGTCTGCAGGACGAGAGCACATGCTGGTGACCACAGGCAAAGGAAAACAGCCCAGCCAGGGTGCTGGCACCTGAACCCTCCTCTGATAGAGCTCAGGCAGGAGCAGAGAGTTCCCTGTCCCTGGATCAGAGCTGGGGGTCTGGGCTGTCAGGCCACACATACCTTTTTGCATCGAGTGCAGCGAGGAGCGAACTTGCTCTCGTAACAGGGGACACAGTAATAATCCTTCTTGTCTGGGATGAAGGACCGTGACCCAATGGGCTGCTGGCAGCTGCTGCAGATGAAGCAATGCTCATGCCAGGTCTGTCCGTTGTACTCCAGTTTACGGGAGCCTGCAGAGAAAGCCCTGCAGTGACAGAAGGGAGCAGCACACACGCACACAGGGACGTGGGGGCCTGASCAGGATGAACTGTGGTCCTGCACGCCTGGCTCCCCAAAGCTGGAGAGGGGGCCCCAGGCCCACACCCTGGGCACAAGGGGAGGGCTGCAGGAACACGTCCCCAGCACTGACACAAAGGCCAYGGCAGAGATGCCTGACGTAACCTACAGCTGAAGATGGTGCCAAACTAGCCAAGCAAAGAYACACACACCTTTGCCTCAGGCCATCTCCAGAGACGCTCACACATCTTCAGTCATTCTGTCTCTTCTTGTCAGCACAGAGCAGAAAATGCCCAGGAAACCCTTTGTTATCYCCTCCCTCATTCACTTCCCCATGAAAAAGGGGAACAGATAGGGCTGCTGTGGTGATCACAGCTTGGCATCATGCTGGACAAGCAAAGGATCCAGCCCTCTCCACATAGTGACAAGAGGACAGGAGAACAGAGCTCCAACTCTCCTCCATGCTGCTCTCAGGCTGGACCTGCAGCCCCAACTGACACCAAGGGACCAGGAAAAAACCACAGAGCTTGAGTCTGCCTGCTCCTACCTGGCATGACGGTCTTCTCACAGGCGATACATTTGGAGGAGAACTCGCTGCAGTAGCAGTCGTTGCACAGCAGCTCCTCACCCTGACAGGTGAATGGCTCATCAGCCAGAGAGCGGTCGCAGCGGAAGCAACGGAAGCAGTGCTCGTGGTAATGGCGATCCTCATAGTACAGCTCCTGGGAGTACAGGCAGGATGAGGAGGGAAGCAATAGCCCCAGGAACTGAGCTGCTTGTCTGCAGAGCCCCTACTCACCCTGCAGTCGTGGCCGATCAGCTCCTTGCACTCGTCGCAGGTGTTGGCGAAGTGTGCGTCGTAGCAGGGGATGCAGTAGGGGCCATTGTCCATCTGGATGTACTTGCGCCCATAYAAGGACTCCTTGCAGTTGTCACAGTCAAAGCACTCTGTCATGGTGCCGGTCTGAGGGCCTCCTTCACCTGCTGAGATCAGGGCAGGTGTGGGTGAGTATCAGTTTACACTGTCCGAGATGTCCCTGCACAACCCTGCCACCTCCAGAGGCCAGGGAGCCGAGTCCCTGTGCTGAGCCAACAGCCACCATCAGCACAGGGGACAGAACCACACTGTGCTCCCATTCTGGGGCTGCACACACTTCCCAAAGAGCCTGCAATAAACTTTGCTTCAGGCTTTTACTCCAGTTCACAGCTGGAGCACTTTGGCACCACTCAGAAAACCTGGACATGCCAGCATGCAGCTAAGCTCCTTGCTACCTTCCCGGCAAGTGAAGTGTAACTAAGGACCAAAAGGGAGAAATCTGCTGCATGAAAAGTTTTGATTTGTCACTAAATCCATGTACATGCCATGTGGTTTTGTGTCCACTGTGACAAATGAGAGCCAAACACCCTAAGGGAGATCTGCCTGCCCAGCTACCCTTCGGAGACCCACGCTCAGCACGGTTCTTAGCAGAATTCCTCCCGATGACTGAAAGCTCTGCCTGAGGGGCTGCCAGCAGCTCAAACCCTGGAACTTCTCCAGAKCTTTAAAGCAGCTGCTCCACAGGGAGGCAGGAATTGGGCATTCCGCMCTGTGCCTTGGCTGAGGAGCCTCATCCAGCAAACTGTTCTGTGTGTGCTGTGCCAACTACAAACACTCTCCAGGGAGAAGCTACAGGGGCAGGCGGGTGTTTCACAAGCACCTGTTGGGGCTCAGCATAAAGGACACCTGACATTTCTCCTTGCCCCTTAACTCCCTCACAGAAACAGGTTTGTGGAACTATTTTGCTTTCTCTGGAGCCATAATTCCAGAGCAAGAGTATCTTCCTCCTGTTTAGTTTAGCCTGGTTATTCCTAAACCTGGAGTTTTTCCACYTGCAGAATCACACCCTTCTTTAACCCAGGTTGCTGTCAAGTGTRGACAAGCCCACTGAGTTACATCAGAGCTGTCAGATGCGGAGCACCCTGCACTGAGTGGTCTTCATGCACCCACCCACATCAGAAAGATCAATYACAGCTCAATCTGCACTTCAGCACTTAACAGGCAGGGAGGTCCCTGCCAGCCCCTGCACCCCGTCCCCAGGCTGGACACAGCCTGCAGGGCAGGAGCTGCTCCAGACAGCTCTGACTCACRGCCCAGAGCTCCCCAGGGCTATTCTTGGCCAAGCCACACAGCTCCCAGCTGTTGTCAAGCCTGGTATGTGCCGATAGGACTGCTGGAGAATAAATCCAGTGTTCCCACATGGCTACGTGACCAAGCAAGGGGGAACAAAATCCCTTTTCAGACACCGGTCACCAGCTGCCACCCGGGCTGCTGCCCGCTGCGTGYCCTGCAGCGTGTGCAGCCACAGGAGCAGCTCCACAGCATGACCCTGTGAGCAGAGCAGGCTGGGGACACGGCTCCACCATGCCTCCCCAAAAATCCAGCCAGAGCCCTGTGTGCTGCCTGCACAAGGCAATGTCCACTCTGTTAGTGGACATAAGGAAGCCACACGGTGTTTGCTGCAAGGTGCTGAACACCCCAGTGTCCCTCCCCTCTGGACAYTCCCATGACTGGGCAGCAGCTTCCCTGACCCCAACAAAGCTCCTGGCTGCTTCTCACCCATTGCTGCCTTCTCTGCCACCCTGCTTGCTTTGGCTCCCTAAAGCTACCTGGCACCTTTCTCTCAGGTAAAAAATGAAATTTCCAACCCTCCTCCTCCTCCTCCTCCCAGCCCTGGTGAAGGGAACTTTCCAAGGTGTGTCTGTAATAAAAGGGCCTCTAATGAGTACTCCTGRCTGGGGAGCTAAGGCACCTCCAGAGCGGGGAACTTCCAAGTTTCTTGATGGGCTGCACTTTAGCTCTGTGGTCCAGTAACACAAGCTCAGAGGCCATGAGAAAATACAAAGAAAGAAAAAACAATCTGAACGGACAAGGCTGGGGTTTAACCAGTAACAGGGAACAAGCCTCCTGTGCATCTCTGCCCCTGATGCTGTCAGAAGAGGAAGTGAAAAACCCTCCAATAATGATACACCAAGGAGGACACTAAAGCAGCAGGCCAGGCTTGCCTCCACTTCAAGCAGTTTTTCCCCAAAGTGTCTGTGTGCCTGCTGCACACACAGGCTGAGCGCTGCTCCCCAGGCTGTGGGTGCAGCAGAACCAGGCGCTGGAGCCTCACGTGGCCAAGGCTGCACTCAGGGCACACGGGGCAGACTTAGTGCTGCCTTTTCCACAGAACAAGAACAGGCCCAGGAAGTTTACTCAGGGTTATTTGTGTAAGATAAGCTGTTTGCTCCCTTTGTTCTGGTCTCACATGCACAGCTGGGCAGGGGCGTCAATGCCTGGGCAGCGCCAAAGCAAACGCAGCATCTTGGTCCCTGAGATGTGGCACTGTGACATGGAGAACACGGGAAGAGGAAGGTGGGACAAAATAAATGGAGTAAAAAAAAACAGTAGAAAGCACACAGTCTTCACTGTGATTGTGATGATGAACCTGGAAATTGCCTTCCTTATGAAGGAAAGAGGTAGAGTTTTRAAATGCATTAAAAAACCCTTTAATCGAGGCTCAGATACACAAGGTTCAATATAGGCCATCGCTTTTGTGCTAATGAGCATGTCCTCATCCTCTGCAGTCTGCACCACCCTGTAAACATCAGCTGTGTGCTGGGTGAGCCGGGCTGATGTCAGGAACGCCTTCAAATGCTAACCAAGGTGTTGCCCTATAATGATGGGATTGCAGTTGCAAATAGAGTGTTTGCCCATTGCCAGATGGCTTTGGTCAGGGGGACAAGGCTTGCTGAAGCAGTCCCTTGTACAGGGTGACGGATGTGGGATACTGCTCAGCTGTCTGTTAGCTGTTGGAGGGCAAAAATAAACACAGATATACGCCTGCCAGCTGCCAGCTCTTACCCTCTGACAGATGTAGTTGTGCTCACAGAGCAAAGGAAGTTCAGTTCCCSTCCTGTGCCCATGAACAAACAGCTTTAACAACAAGAGCTCCACTCACAAACAACATTCAAAGTACTCCAGGATGCAAATCTGATCAGTCTGGAGCACAGCTCAGAATAGCCTCACGTATGGGAAAGGTCAGCAATTTGTCAAGGACGCACAGCAAAGTCCACTTTCTAATTAGAGAGTAACATGCACCCGACACCCACCCTGGTGTGATTGTCCACAGCCAGATGGCCTAGCAACAGCCCCAGGAGATCATTACATTAATTTTAGCACAGATAAACTGGGGATTTGTTATGCAAATGAGGCACTACAGACAGACCAGGGCCCGATCCACACAACCATTGCCTTTTGAGACGGTTCCTGCTACAATGAACTCCTTCCTCGCAGAGTCTTGTGTGTGTGGTGAACCTGTAACCCCATGTAACTTCACACCAGTTTGTTGTTTGTTGTCAGGTCACAACCAGCTGCTCCACACAGTCATCCCAGCGCAATCCATGGGGCTATTCCTAGGGAAACACTTAAACTTTCCAGGACTCAGGAAGAGACCTGTTTTTGACTGTCTGTCAGGTCCCTGCTTATTCTCACCTCCCCAGGGCTTCATGAGCATAAATATAAGCAGTTGCAGTTCACACCTAAACAGACATGCAGAAGAGTAAGCAYGACTTCACTGGGCAGGCAAATATTCCCCATGTAAGGATGAAACTGTGCAGGGACATGGCTTTGGAAGACAGTCCTCAAAGCACTCCAAGGTCAGCAGAGGAGAAGAACACTTTTTGTTCCTGCTGGCTTTCCAGAACCATTATGGGTCCTGGAATCTGCATGAAATTGTTTCTGCCTTCTGCCGACCCTAAAAGGGAAACCAGCTGCTTGCTCCGAGGAGCAGCTCCAGCCCCTCCATTATGCTGGGAGTGTTTTCATTCCACATTTCCTGACACCACTTCTGTACAGGGATCTGCACAGGGTCACTGTGCACCCTGCCAGCCCAGGTTCTTGGGGGACGGGGGCCGGCTCCCTGGGGTGCTGTGGGGGTTTCTCAAACTTCCTCATTCTGCCTACCTGTAYCACATCACTCTGCTCCCAAACCCACCAACACTGCTGAACACCTGGTGCAGCAAGAAGAGCATCCCTGGGGCTGTTAGAGAGCTTCAGGCAGCTGGGCAGAGGTTCCAGTGCTCCTTCAGGGTGACCCAGGCTGCATGGGGCACCCTTGGGAGCTCTGTTGCATCAGGGGCACCCTTGGGAGCTCTGTTGCATCAAGCCTTCACCCGCCTGTTTGCAGCACCAGTGAGTCACTTCCTGCCCTCAGCTCTCCAAGCTGCCTTCCAACCTCAGCCTTCCCCAGGACAGCTCTGAAATATTAAATAACAAGGGGGGCTCCAGCATGGCAAAGAGTAGAGTCCTTGCAGGGACCATCACGACAGCCACACATGGCAGCTTCCCCATCAGCACCACAGCCAGAGGATGCTGCAGGTAATTTCTCCAACACAYAGGGAAAATTTGGTCCTCACAGTGGGCTTCAGAGGCAGGAGGTGAGCAGATCAGCTGGGTGCATGGCCACAGACTCCCTGCAYCACTGGAGTGTTGTGCTCATGCATGTGCACACACCGAGCTCTGCTGAGCAAGCTCTATTAAAGCCTTTTCCCCAAGCATGGGCAGGACACCCTCCTGCCCAGAGCAGTCATGGGCTGCTCCAGGCTCTGCAACACATTGAGTAAAACTGGCAGCATTGTGAGGAAACACCCTGCATTTCAAAATAACTTGCTGTCAGCAAGGTAGGCAGCTTCCTGAAAATGCCCATGACTTTGTGTGGAAGAAATAGCAGAATCTGTTAAAGCATCTGACAAGCCACAAGATCTAAACTGTTGCATGATTTTAATRCAGTCTTAGAATGACAAAATAAGGGTTTCCCATTGTTCAGAAGGGATCTCTGAGATGCCCCATCCAAAGCACAAAGTGTATCCCAGATTTCTCCTGACAGGTCTGCATATAGACAAAGGACAGAGCCAAAAACACACCTGTTCCACAAATGCCTGATTGTACTCTTAAACAGAGTACA